GCTCCCTGGCGCCCGGCGCTCACGCGGGCCCTTTGTGTCTCTCCTCCTCCCGCAGCAAGATGTTCATCGGGGGACTCAGTTGGCAGACTACGCAGGGTGAGCGAGCCCGGGAGCGCCCGCCAGCTCGGCAGGGCACCCCGGACCCCCCGGCGCCCTGGAACCGGACCCCCCCACCCAGGCCCTGCGCCCTGCTGACCCCGGGCGCCCCCGCGCCCTCTTTCGCGCCCCGCCCGGGGACCCCTAGAGCGCAGGGCGGTCGGCGAGTGTGCCCGGCCCCGTGGGTGGAGGGGAGCAGATGAGGGGTTCAGGGGGCATCGGGGGGTGGGCTGGGACCCCTGGACTCGCCGGCGGCAGCGCCAACTCCGCTCGCACCTGCGGCTCAAACTTTTGTGAGGCAGCTCCCGGAGCGGCGGGAACACGGCTGGAGCCGTCCCCCCTCCAGCCCAGTTTGGCCCTCGTCTTCCCGGGGCCCCGGTGGGCGCCCAGAGGTGCCGCGGGAGCCGGGCGAGGTCAGGGGGGACAGCGGAGAGCGCGCCGGCAGCCTGGCGCGGGGGCGGCCGGGCCGCGCCGGGGTCACCGGGGGCAAAGGACGCGGTAGGGGGGAAGGGCACCGGGCCGGAGCTGGTCCGAAGGCGAGTGTGTGGTTACAGAAGGGCTGCGCGAGTACTTCGGCCAGTTCGGAGAGGTGAAAGAGTGTCTGGTGATGCGGGACCCCCTGACCAAGAGATCCAGGTGAGCCCCTCACCCCCTCCTCCTGCTCCCGGCTCACCCCCTCCATCCGCCACTCGGTGCCTTGTAACCATCTGCCTCTCCCTCACTACCGCGCGCAGGGGTTTCGGCTTCGTCACTTTCATGGACCAGGCGGGGGTGGATAAAGTGCTGGCGCAATCGCGACACGAGCTCGACTCCAAAACAGTGAGTGGCCCTCGGGGCTTGTGGGGGGGGGTTCCTTTGGGAGAGGGAGGCTACTGGAAGAGGAGAGGGTCAGGTCTCTCCCCAGAGGACAGCTGGACCGGGTACTTGAGGGAGGAGGGCGCTTTCTGAGTAGGACGGCTGCCATGCTCTGAAACTTTGTCACTAGAATTGGAGGGACAGGGAAGAGAAAACCCCCAGGCCTGCTATACGATGCTACATCACCCCTCAGCCCCCTAGGGACTAATGGGAGAAGAGGCAGCTCCCACCTCCTCTCTCCCTGGAAGTACTAATTCTTGCGCCTCAGAGTGGAGCTTGGGGTGGGGCTAGGTTCCTCCCCTGGCCCAAATGGAGTGAGTCAGGGCTGTAGTAACCCACCCGGTGGCTTCTCTCAAACTCGAACTAGTATTTGGCTCTGAACCCCCCCCCCATTCCAGACCAATGGCAAAGCAGGGCTGAATCCCCCTCCTCCTCTCCCCGCTCCTCCCCTACTTTTGGTCAATGAGCTTCTGCTTTGTGTGGAGTCTCAGACCTGCTTTGCCCACCAGGGGATTCATGGGGAGGGAGCTAGCTTGTCTGAAAACAACCCTTAGCGATCCCCTCTGAGGACCAGCTCTTAGCAAGACTGCTTGGCCTTCACACTCCTGGAACATTTTGGTGCTGTCCCACTGTTCCTCACAGTCTTGGGCCCTGCAGGGGGCGCTGGCTGAGACCCTGCTCAAGGGGAGAGGGAAAAGGAGAAAGTGTGGGGGGGATTGATTCTGTGATGGGGGTGCCTGTCTGTCTGTCTGTCTGCCAGAGAGATAGCACAGTCTGCTCTCCACACTCCCCCACACTCCCTGGGCCCTGGGCCTCCCTGCTTGGGTCAACTCCTGGCTGCTGTTTACCTGCAACAATAGCTGGTTGTGCCCAAGAATTTGTTAAATTGCCGCCTGTCCCCAGCTCCTGTTATCTCTGCCCAGTGGCTCCCACTCCCGCTCGCAGTAATGAGCAAATGAGGCCTCAACTTTGCCTGCTCTGAAAGGATCGACTTGGCACAGCCGGAGTGACCTGGGAGTGGAGGGACAGTGGCCTATTGTTTTTGGTGATTATCTGCATCAAGCTGCCTGTTCTCCTACCATCCCCTGTCCTCAGAACACAGTGCTAAGTCGGGCAGGCAGTGCTCAGGAAGCCCAGATGCTGGGGCAGGGGCTGGGGGTGGAGAAGTGGATGATGGGTAAGAGGGAAAAGAGAGAGGGGAGAAAGGAAGGTGAGGTGGCCCTCCTGAGGAAGCTGGAAAGGGCCAGGGCTTTGTGTGTGTTTGGCCTCCTCCGCCAGGGGAAGGGGATGAGAGGAAGGTTTACCGTGGGGAGTCTATTTTGGGTTCTGACTTTCACCTTTTATTTACTTGTTGAGTTTATTTATGTTGCCAGCTATGAGTCAGAGTGGCAGTGGGGTGTGTCAGGGCTGGCGTGTGTGTGTGTGGGTCTGTAGATGCGTGGCTTGGGTGCCATCCCTGGGAGATCCCTGTCAGGGTTTGCTCAGGGGCCCTGCGTGAGGTATGCTGGTAGCTGAGAAGACTGCTTCTGGAAGAATTAGAAGGATGAAACGGTCTGTTGAGATACGCGGTCACAATTTCCGTCAGGGGGAATGGGCTGCTGTGATTTTTCCTGGAGTCCAGGTGGACTTTGAGGCAGAGGAGGAGCTGCCCGAGCATGGCTTCTGGAAGTTCCATCACTGTGGATGGATTCCATAGGGGGAGCCTGGAGGAGGCTGGTTCCTGCCATTCAGGCCGGAAAGGAGCTGGAGCCAGTTTCCTAGAACGAGGTGGAATTTTGAGCAGAAGGAACTTTGGGAAAAGATAGATCTTCTCTGTGATTGGCTGGTGAACTTTGGAGTGATGTCCAACCCATGTGGGTGGCAAGCAACTCTGGAATGACCGAGCCGCCTTTGCTCGGTCCTGCTTTGATCAGTGCCATAGGCCCTGGCTTTTGCTGCTTGTTGGTATGGGTGTAGTACCCAGGGACACCCAGCTCCAACAATAACCAGGATTTTCTAATGTAAACTCTACCCCCTGTCCCAGGAGCCAGGCGAGTGTCTTGATTTTTCCCTCTGCTTGTTCACAGCCAGGGCAAAGGTGGCCTGTGGGTAGTAGCACCTTTGTTTGTTTGTGCAGCTTAGTTCACAAAGGGCCGCTTTTACCCATGCTATCTCATCTGGTTCCCCACCGCTGCCCCTGGGAAGAGTGGGTGTGATTATCCCCAGTTTTCAGATGACGGAACTGAGGCTCAGAAGGGTCGAGCAAGTTACGAAGATCACAGGCTTGGCAAGGCACCGAAGGTTTCTGAGTCCAAGTGCCATGCCCTTTCGCGTCACCAAAGACTGCCCTCGGCCTCACCCCAGACTAGCTGCACTATCAGGGAACTGTTGGCTGTGGATAGTATTGGTACACAGAACTGAGTCTCCTCCTGGCAGTTGTAAACTCTCCTCTTGCAGTCTTTTTAATCCAGGAGGGCTTCCATTTGCAAGGTTTCTGAAGTCTGAATTGCACGCCTCACTTAGTCAGGTATCTGTCGGAAATGTTAGGGAAGGAGGGCCCCCCACATACCCAGCCTTGAAGGAGTAAGACTTTCAGGTTCTTGCTGTGAGCCACACACCATGCCAAATGCTTTGTAGGCATTATTTCAAGTCATTTGCAGGCAACCCTTTGAGGTGGATTTTATTATTTGCTGATTTTGCAGGTGAGCTTGAACCTGAAGCTCAGAGAGGTTAAGTAACTTGTCCGAGGTCTCACAGCTAGGAAGCAGTACAGGTGGAATTTAAACCCAGGCAGACTGACTCTTGTGGTCTCGAGGCAGGTTGCGTCACCTCTGTGTTCTGGGGGCGAGCAGAGGTCCTCAGGGCTGAAGGCTGGGTTGTGTGGCCATTGGTGATCAGTACTCTGACGCATGATGACCAAAGCCCCTTCCACCTGTCCATTCTCTTTCAGATCGACCCCAAGGTGGCCTTCCCTCGGCGAGCACAGCCTAAGGTAGGTGTCTGCTGGGGAACGGCTCTGTTACCATGGACAACTGTGGGCAGTGATTTTCCCAGCATTCCCTCCAATGGAAGTTGCTTCTGGAACCTCTGTTTGGAGCGTTTCTGGAATGGTCTGGGGAGGAAGGAGGGGGTATTCTGGATGTCCTTGCTCTGTGACTTGTGCTCTGGGATGGAGTGGGGAAGGGGCTGCGTATGTTGGGAGACAAGGGAACCCTCTCAGGGGGCTCTGTTGCCCTTTATTTGAAACCAGGACAGTTTGGACCCTGAGTCTAATTCTGATTTTATAGATCACAGCCCAGTGCCCAGTGCCTCTGGGGGTCAAACACAGGACAGAGTCACCCCCTGAGGTCAAACTAAGTAGGGGTGAATCCTGAGTCATACCCATACCTCTGAGATGGGCTGCACTGGACTCAGGGGGGGACTCTGGAGCTTGCAATAAAACCCACCATTCACTGTGCCTTGAGACCCTGCCACCTGGCACCTTTCAACTTAGGTGGCTTTGGCTGCCCTGCCAAGTGTTTTGCTGCCACTGGCACTCTGGCAGACTTTTCAAGGGGCAGAGGCAGGGGAGTGCAGAAAATTAATTTCTGGGCCAAAATCAAAAACCAAAGTCACTGCCGTCGAGTTGATTTCAACTCATAGCGACCCCTCCTTGGCTTTCTGAGGCAGTATTCTACAGAAGTAGATTGCCTGGTCTTCCTTCTGAGGAACTCTGGTGGTATAGTGGTTAAGGCATTTGCTGCTCACCTAAAGGTCAGTGGTTCAAACTCACCAGCCACTCCGTGGAAGAAAGATGAGGCAGTCTGCTTCTGTAAAGATTTATATATAGCCTTGGAAACCCAAAGGGGGTCGCTATGAATTGGAATTGACTCAATGGCAGCGAGAGAGCTATATAGCACTTATAACTTTTGGTGGCATTCAGGAGCCTATAGTTCTATACCATGTTATGGGCAACTAGCCAGATCGGAATTTGTAGGCAGCCCTACAGGGGAGGCTGACTAATACAGGAGCCAGGACCTCTGAGTCTGTAGACTTAATGTGCCCTAGGATGGAATCGATCTCTAAGAGACCTCTGTTTCCCACTTTGTAATGGAGTGGGTGGGAGCTAGCATGTTTTAAGATTCTGGGCCAGCTAGGGGTCTTCCAAGGCCCCCAGCTCCTGCCGTGGAGAAGGGAGAGGAGCAAGTTTTGGGAGACAGGAAACGGACATATCTGGAAAGGGTCCAACCAAGAACCTGAAAGCAGTTATGGAGCAGGTATTCCAAGGAAGCCGCACCAGGGAGCACATGGTCAGAATTGGGTTAATTCCATTAAGCAGTTTGGTGACAGAAGGTGCTTTAGTGTTAGGATGGGGCTGGGAATTGCCACGGATTAGCCATGCGCTCCTGGGGTAATTAGGACCATGTGTTCTTCCTGAAACAGGTCTGGGGCTTCAGGGCTGCCAGAGGTTGGGATGAGAGGAGGGTGGCAAAGAAAATGCCGGCCTTGGGTTCAGGGAGACCCAGTGATGGGCCTTGGAGTCTCCCAGGGGGACTGTTGGGGTCTTCAAGTTAGGCTGTGGCTCTGGGTCACTGACCACCCCCCTCTTTCCAGTCTTAGTCCTTAGGGAAGGCATTTTCCAATCACAGACCCCAGGGAAGGAGGCAGGCAGGAGGCCAGCCTGGGTGTGGGGTACACAGCTGTCTGTGACAGGCCTCGAGGCGGGGGTCCGAGGGGGAGCTTGGGGGGACCTTCTGAGAGGCTGGGGCCACAGAGAGCTTGTCAGCTGGCATCCTGGCAGGGGGGCCCGAGCCCCTGCTGGTGGCGGTAGGCTACAGGCCTCAGATGCCCACTTTCTCGTTCCCTCCCCTTAACAGATGGTGACTCGAACGAAGAAGATCTTTGTGGGGGGGCTGTCAGTGAACACCACAGTGGAGGACGTGAAGCAGTATTTTGAGCAGTTCGGGAAGGTTGGTCCAAGTTGGGGGTGCTTGAGGGGCTGGGGGTGGACACTGTGCTTCCTGGGGCTGAGAGAGCCCTGTAGAACTGGGAGGCACCAAGTAGGGTCCCTCCAGGCCACTCTAATTCCTGCAAAGATGAAAGCAGGGCTGGGCCCTTCTGTGGGTGAGGTCAGGTCAAGCTACTGTCCAGCCTCCTGGCCTGCGTCTGGGCCTCAGACTCTGGATAGGTCCCCAGGGGAGGAAGCCACACAGTGGCTGTCCCTGTTGTTCCCTGGTCTGTGTTTTTCTCTTCCTTATCTTCATTCTCCTATGGGAGGCTTTGCTCCCATTACCAGTTCAATCTAGCCACCCGTTGGCCTCCTGGGAGTTTGCACCTGTCCAGGCCACAGGCTGTTGCACCTTCCCCTACCTCTTCCTGGTGAGGATGATAAGGAGGCAATAAATATGACTCCTGATTGCACTCAGCACCCTGCTCACCCAGACAGGGGGCTTGGGGCACAGAGGGGGCACTGACCCCATGGCTTATTGGGAAAGGGCTGAAGAGAGCACCCTAAATTTCTGACCAGGCCCAGAGGGCTGGCTCTCAGGTGCGTGGAGCTTTTAAGTTCGGTGCCATTTAGGCTATGAAGAGACAGAAGGTGTGACAAAACCTGGCTATTGGGTGTCCCCAGAAAGGTTAACAGTATGGACTACAAGGTCCCAAGGGAGGTGGCAAAGAAGAGCCCAAGCTGTAAGTCTGAAGGTGACGGATGGTCACGTTGCTTCAGACTAGTGTCCCTGGTCCCCTCTTGGTGAGATGGCCTGCAGGCAGGAACTCTTGTAGGAGGACCCAGGCAGGTTCCCACCAATGGGGAAGAGGAGGACCAAGGGGAACATGGCTTGGGGAATGGGCCGGCCGGCCTTCCAGCCTTCTGTGCCCAGGGTGCTGGGGTGTGGAGCCAGAAGCCCGGCTCCGGCGCCCCCCGTGGGGGCCTGGGTGCAGGACGCAGGGCAGCCCGGGCCTGGGCCCCAGAGGGAAGGGCGCCCCTGGGAAGCAGCAGGCCGGCTCGGCTCCGGCGGGGTGTCTTTGTGTCTGAACGCCGAGCATTAGAGCCCGCACTAATCTGATCCAGCAGCTGTGATTGGAGGCCGCCTGCCCCCGGGGCCGGCGTTGCCATGGCAACCGGGCCCCAGGAGAAGCCGTCAGCGGCCGCGTCTTTTGTTCGGGCCTAAATCGGCGTTGGCATGTGAAACCGGCCCGGGGAGGCCAGGGGGAGCCGGAGAATAGGCTGCCAGGGAGCGAGGGGGACAGCCGGGAATGCCAAGGGCCCCGCGGCGGGGGGCCCCCTGCCCGGATCGAGGGGCCGCCGCCGAGTGGGGAACAATGGTCAGCCGCCATGGCTGCCACTCAGGCTTAGCGGCCGCCGAACTTGGCGGCTCCCACTGGTCAGCATGGCTCGGCCGCCTCCCCTCCCCCCTGCCCGAGTCCCCCTGCCCCCGGGTTCCCATGGAGACCAAAGCCTATTAAGGACACTGGGCTGGTAGCCTCTCTCCCCTCAGCTGGCCCCAGGGAGGGGACACGAGTGGGGAGACCATGGACCCCCAACCACTTTTCTTGCCCTCTGCCCTGGCTTCAACCTCAACCGCCCAGTTGGGGTCCTTAGTACAAGATCCAAGTTGAGGAGTCTGTGGGGCCAGGGATGGTAGAATGGAAGGTTGGGTGGAGGAAGATGGGTAGGACCAAGAGTTACACTGAGTCAGTGTGTGGGTCAGGCAGGAACTCAGAAGAGATGGATGCGGGAGAAGGGTGTGGGGATGCCTCCGTTCATTGCCTCAGTCAACAAAATAATCATTGCGCACCTCTTCCAGGTCCAGGTGGAGCTCTGGTAGCATAGTGCCAAAGGCACTTGACTGCTAACCAGAAGGCTGGCGGTTCAAGCCCACCAGCCACTCCTCGGAAGGAAGGTTGGGCAATCTACTTCTGTAGTGATACTGCCTCGGAAACCCAAGGAGGGGTCACTATGAGTCAGGTCCGTCTCCACGGCAAATAACAACAACAGGTCCAGGTGGCCTAGTGTCTAAGGCATTTGATTGCTACCAGAAGGCTGGCAGTTCAAACCCACCAGCCACACCTCAGAAGGAAGGTTGAGCAATCTACTTCTGTAGTGATACCACTTGGGAAACCCAAGGAGGGGTCGCTATGAGTTGGATCCAACTCGACAGCAGGGCGTTTGGTTTTTTGGTTTTACAGGTCTAGGTGCTCAGTGGGATGGTGGTCATACATGACACAGCCACTGGCCTCAGGAAACCTGAGTCACTGGTCTTGAGCTCTGCCACTGTCCCTCCTGTGACTGTGAGCAGGCCTCTCCTAATACAAACAGTCATTGCCACTCATTATTAGTCCCTCGCTGCATCCCAGATACTGTGAGTTGAGAGATTTATAGGCACTGTCTCATTTAGTTCCTTCCTATGAGATTGGCAGAGTCCCTGGGTGGTGCTGAGGGCCATATACTAAGATACTAACCAAAAGGTGGGGAGTTTTTGGTTGGATGCCTCAGAAGAAAAGCCTGGTGATCTACTTTAGAAAAAAAAAAAAAAAATCAGCCACTGAAAACCTTATTAGCTCTCAATTCTACTCTGACGCACGTGGGGTCACCATGAATTGAAATAGACTCAAAGGCAACTGATCGATAAGATAGACAGTTTTTTGAAATGAGAATATTTGAGATATATTAGATTTTATATATGTATATATATATATATATATATATATAT